TGTATGCATAAAAGTATTTAGTAAAAATATGTATACATAAAAGGGCGGTGAAATAAATCTAATATTTTATGTATTTGCTTTTAAAACAAACTCTGTATCTCAGTAGATATTAAAAATGGAAACACTCTAATACAATTTTTTTTTATTCCTTGGATCGAAGAATTACCTCCGGAGTTAAAGTACGCTCTTACGAAATATCCTAGATAGTACTCATTAATTTATGAACATTTTTTACAAGATAACTTTTCATCTTTCATGCACCCACATTTTGCCTGTAATATCTATCTGATACCAACTACTTTACGCTTTCTTCAACAACTCTACCATCGCCGACTCTACTATCTAGAAGCTACAAGTTGCTCAAAGTCTGGATCTCCGAAGACTCTTCAAAGTGGCATGGTACATCCGCACGAACGACATGCTAAGAGACCTTAGAATTGATCCGGTCAAAAGATACATCAGGGACAGAGCCCTGAAACTATATGCGAAAACCGACAGGCTGCCCTACTTAGCACTATCAAATCTCAATGTAAACACTAACCGCACGGGGCGGTACGCAGATCTTAGATCAGTCATTGAATAATCACGAAGCTTATGAGGAATACATAAATTAGTCAGTGAGATGGATGGAATTCTGCAGAAACCCCCCAGCTATCAGATAATAAAAGTGCCCAGATGCCCTAAATCGGAAAAGGCTCAACTAGAAATTCATATAAAATTTTTTTTAATAACATTTTTAGATGAAAATTTCGTTTACATATTGCAAAATCATATTATATATTTATGTCGTATATTTTTATAAATTAAAACTGGCCATTAGGGAATAGATTGGGAATCGTTTTTGAGAAATACAAGTATAAAAGATAGTTTAAATTTCTTTGAATTTAATATTCGCTCTAATAACAAATTTATCTGTCGAATTTTTAGAAAACAGTTGTATATCCACAAAAATAAAAATTTTACTTATTGCAAAATTATATCATATCTTTATATCGTATATGTTTGTGATTTACGACTGATCATTAGGCATTCTATCTGAATCCCAACCTGTTGGGTATATTGACCTCTAACATCATGTTTTAGAAGTACAAGTATAGAAAGAAGATAGATTAAATTCCTTTGAGTTTAATTTTTGCTTTCATGAACTTATATAAAATTTTTCTGTAACTTGCTTTTATAAAAATTGTAAATCCTTAGAAATGAAAATTTCGCTTATTGCTATATTTTATAAGCCAAACATATATATATTCGTGCTATCCTAATAATTCGAATACATTTGCATATGCAGAAATGTCAACAATGAATTTATATTGCCTTTTCCAGCATAGCTAAAAATGTGCAGCATAAATCTGCCAAAAATGTAAACATTGACATAAGAGTGCAAATGCACAAATAAACTGACAAAACCAGCAAAATGGAAAATCTGGTTCAAATTTAATTACGATTTTGAAAGGATTGACGCGACTCGCATGGAGATTAAATATTCAAGAAAAAGAGGCATAGGTAAAAATTTTCGCAGACACAATAGAACAAAAAATCGGTAAAAGCTATACAAATATGTGCGCAAAAATAAACATTTTGGCAATATTTCAGCCATTAAAATTGAAAATTATTCTGGCAGCTGCAAACATACGACACACATCCTACGACTAAAACAGAAAACCACTTCATCATAACTTGAGTACCGAGTTTTGCTTTGAAATTAAAAATGGAATTGGCTGGACTCGTAAAGACCAACAACCACTGTCTGTTTGTCTTTGCCTTTCATATATGTGTGTATTCGTATATATGTATAGTGATATATACTAAAATATCTAAGTGCATTTTTGGCGGAAAGTGTATGCTATCGTTTGAACAGTAGAACCAGGACAACGGTGATGGCAACTGTCACTAAGGATTATTCAGCAACTCAACTATTTTGGCAAATCAGCCATTTGCTTATATGCGGTAACGTCTGCACTGCAATGAAATCATAAATCAAATATATCTTGAATAATGCCAAGCATGTAGCATAATTTTGGTTGCTTAAAACAAAGCAACGAAAAACGCGGAGTCTCCAATTTTGTCCTCGCATATTCGGGGCTTATGCTGACAAATCATAGAGTTGGTCGAATTTCTGTACTTCACTGACAGTGAATATTTATGGCCTACTTTGAGTACGTTGTCGGCTGATGGTGTAGTTAGGTTACTTAATAAATTTGTTAAACTACTTTGAGCAAATTGTGAAATATACATAGTTAGAAAGCAGCTAGATTTGATGTACGTAATCAGATTCTACTGATTGAGTCTGACAAAATGACCTACTTCTTTTACAGTGTCAGATTGGCATAAAGAAGCATATTTAGACAAATTTTAATAATAATTTATTGTATGCGATTCTAACAAATATTTTTCATTTTTAACTCAACAAGTTTGTTAAAAATTATAAGTATGTAAATTACGTTAAAATAATTTAAGTATCTACACTCAGAAAAATAATTTCATTGTTTTATCCAGATTTTAACTAAATCTCAGGTCAAAATATTCTTACTCGACTCGGTTTTTATATCTTCTTTGCCACATGATCTAAAATTTTTCTAACTAAACGATCCGGACAATTTAACTAGTATGTGGTTAGAGCATATTTTTCTGAGTGTAGTAAGAAAATAATTATCTTAAAAATAACAATATCTTAACAAAAGTGATACGAAGCAACTGATATACATAAGGGCTTTACTATTTCCTGCTCTATTATTCGTCATAATGCGTTTTCAATATAATTCGCGGAACATAATAAAAAGTAAAGATAAAAAATAATATTTGTTTAATATGGTGCCAAAATATTTTGGTCTGACTTCATCATATCAATGAATCATTTTAAGGTCATGCGACTGCTAATATCAAAAGTCTAAATTCAACAAGAAGATTGTAAGGAAAATAGGAGAACAGATTAATATATTTAGACAT